ATAAAATAATATTTCTATCAGATTTGTGCCTTATTTTTTTTTTTAAATTGCCTAAGAGAAAAATAAGCATTTAATGTGCCAACGGTCTACTTAAAAACACATATTTTAACAAAATAGAAGATTTGATAAATTTGTGTGATGGATGACGAAACATGGGTGCACTTTTTATAGCCAAAAAGGAAGATCAATAATAAAATGTGGAATGAAAGAAAAAGCTATGATTGTTCTTATTATTGTTCAAAGAAACAAGGGCTCCAAGCATGTTTTATTAGTTCTCATTTTTTTTCAAGAGGTCCAGTAAAACATGTAGATACACCCAAAAGAAGGACCATCAATGGTAACTTTTATGTTCAAATTGTACTGAGGAAAGTTAAACAGATTTTTCTGCAAAGGAAGTCCAAATACCGCCCCAGGGTAATTTTCTTGTACCATGCAACGCTGCTGCAAATACACACAGAAAAATAAGTAAAATTCTGAAGAAAAGAAAATTTATAGAGCTTTGCCATTCCCAATATTCGCTAGATCTCAGATCTTTTTATTCTAAAAACGCATGAAAACAATCAAAGGAAGATTGTACAATATTAGATATGTCATGGGAAGTGATATTCATCAGTGTCTTTGGGACATCCCTGAAGATGCGTGGGTATGCTGAGGTTTTCTGGCTATGGGTACAGACTTAAGACATGTGTAAAGGATAACGGGGAATACTTTGAGGGATTGGAAATGTTTAGAATATGTATTACACACTTTTCTTCCTTTTAGATGACCTGCTGCATTATTTATTGAACGACCCTCGTAATTGAAAGCATTTGCTAGTATGTGGACAGTTACGATATTCTAAACACCATAGCACGGACGGGGAGGTCGAAAGGTGAAGTATGATTTCTATTTTGACTTAAAAAACACATATAAAGCAGATTTGCAGACAATTAAGACAGGGAGTTAAAATATGTAGATATAAGCATTTGAATGATTATTTTTTGAAAGATGTAGTCCCATGTAACTGCAACAGTGCGTACAAATTTTCATAACACGCTAACGCACGTTACTCAATTGGTTTGCACATACTGTTGCAGCTAATTATGAGGCATCTTTCAAACTAGAATGTTCCAAGGAACAATCAACGAAAATATGGCTTTTCAACGAAATGGTAACTGACCATTGGTACCCCACGGTGAAAATTTCAGCACCACCAGCAAATAGTGCTTTAGTTGTAGCTAATATTAATTTATGACAAAGCTTTTACGTGTGTCAGATATGGGACTGGGGTAGACCCTTTTTTCTCATAGATGTTGAGAAACCTGAGCACTTGCTATAGCTACAGTAAGATCATTATACTGCATTAATTTACCCATAAACTTTGGAGAAGAGAACCCTTTGGACAAGCATTTCCGAATAATCGGAATCAATTTATCTGACTTAAGTATCACATGCTTTGTTCCAACTTGTGTATGTTACATGTATTGGTTCAAATAGCCACATAATTTGGTGCATGTATTTATTTAAAAACATATGCTTTTATAAGGGTGGGATATTTTGCAAACAAGGAGGAAGGCTCATATATTGATATTATTCTATAAAATTATAAGTAGCTATTCACCTCAATATTTTTATGACTTGATCGAACCATATTGTCCATCAAACCACTCCTACAAATGTATAACTCAGAAAAAATAATGCACAATTCAAACTTCCTCACATTAGAGCTACATCATACATGGAAAGTTTCCTTCTATCAGCAGTTAAACAGTTAAATAAGTTGCCTGACTATATTAAAAATGCTTCTGGAATATCTCCATTCAAGAATCTTTTGAATTCTTATTTTTGTAAAAATGGTAATGAACTTTTTTTCATTTTGGAATAAGAAAGTACAATGTAGTACAGTTAAGAAATAATGCAATTAATTTGAAGACAGACGTTTATCAGAAACGCCAATGTGTGAACACTGTATTGATTCTGTTGAAGTTGCTTAGGCCAAATAAAAAAAATATGTGTGGTTCCGGTTACCCGACCGTCCCTATTTTATACCCCCGACCCTAAACTTTTTTCCGGCAATTTTCATATTTTTTCTGGAATTTTTCCCGCTTTCCGTCATCGGCTCCGGTATTAGTTTTAGTTTCAGCAATGGCGGCCTCCAAGCAAAACATCGTTTCAACACTTAGTGCAAGTGTTCAATTAATAGTGTTAAATCTAAAGCAAGCTAGCATAGCGCGGAAGCATTCCTTTTTTCCAGCACCATGTATTTTGTTTTGTTTTGTTTTTGCTTGCCAAAATTAAATAAATAGACAGACAGCTGGCCAGGTAATATGCTTTTGGGAGTTAGGGAGAAGATAACATGAGAAAACATCATTTGATTGCATTGATTACGCAAGAAATAGCCCAATGTGTAAGATCGATTAACTTGTAAATTATTAAATAATTTAACAGTGTTTAAATCAGGATCGTTTCTTTTAAACCGAAAGTAGAAAAAAAAACAGTTGATGGGGAAAAGTGAAAAACAAAACAGCTGAATTTACCTGAATAAAGTCAACTTACATAGTACCAATATATATGAGAAATGAGCTTGGAAGTATAAAGTCTTCAATGAGGCAAAAAGTTTTCATTGTAAGAATTTAAAATTTTAACAATATGAAATATATTTCCTCTGACAGCTCTTAGCAGTACTCTATGTCCGTTTTCTAGTTTATCGTTCAATATTTATTATCAAATAAAATAAGAATTACTCTGGATAAAAGTTATTAATTTCATTTATAAACATGGATTTAAAAACAGGATGTTCACCTCGACTTTTTCTTTACAAAAAGAAATCAATAAGATTATTAGTGGGTTTATTATTTTTGATTTAAAAATATTTGTTTCATATTCATAACTAGGGTGTCCCTACCAATGTTGACTTGTATATTATCACACCAGATCTAAATGCCACTTGCAAAGCACACACATTTTTTGTTTGGCCTTACCATTATTTTTTTTTTTTTGCATGTCCAAAATATACATCTTCTAGGGATGTACTCTTCCAAACAATTCAAAATATTATTGATTGTGATCAGATCTCTGATCTTGATTTTATATAATTTTATTATATGGTAGTTCTGATCATGGACTCGATATTAATATTCAAATATTTGTAGCAGTAAAAGCATATATAGCAGCAACAAAACGTTTTATTTGAAGAATGTCATGTATGTAGCTTTTGTCAATATTTCCAAACCGGTACTGCATTGTATTGGGGGTTTTTTTTTCTCTCGTAGTTTCTTTTTCTATTATAATAATGTTTGTTTAATTAGTATTATACCTATAAATACATATATATGAAGAAATGGTGTTCATTCTGCTGATTTGCATATCGGCCATTTGGAACAATAATGGCTGCCGAATTTATAAAGGTTTTTGTAGAGAAAATACAAAAAATCGCGAATTTTTATATCCTAACTATTTCGGATAAAGTTCTTCCGCCGATGGTTTGATTCTTCTTAATATCTTCTACCGGAAATGACAAGATTGTTGATACCAAAGTGAAAGTTGTGACCTCCTTTTTTATTTGAAAATCCGAAGCGAGATTATATTGTTTAAATGAAGGAAAGAGCACAGAATTGGTGTTTTTATCATTTTTTTTATGAGGAAATGTAAGTGTTTATTACAAGTTGACAGAGTTCTTCCACCGATTAAGAGGTGCAGAAGAGAGCAGAGCCTATTTTCATAAAATACATATTGTTTTACCATTCCATGAGGAGTTACGATGGCCTTTTTAATTTGAGTCAATGTTTTGCATCAGTGTGATCTACTTTATATCGGGAAAACGGTGTCCTGAGTCGTCATCTGTTATTCACACAAATTTCTATCCATATAACTATGACGGAGCCTTGAAGAAAAAAACAAACGAAAGAGGCTTGCAGGTTTTGACATTTAAAGAAATGGAATTTCGAGATCATTCAGTATCTTATGGATATTAATGAGAAATAAATCACGTGGAAGCAATCTCATGAATAAACTGCACTCAATTTCTCCATATGGTGTATTTACCTTGAACCTGTTGTAGGGTGAGGGCTAAAATAGACTTTGCCTGCTGCCCAAGCCATTCATTTTTTTGTGAATAAGATTATGTATGAAATAAATAAGATTTAACCCTCTCTGTAATATATATTTTGTAATATATATTTATGACCTTGCAAGAGGGGATGAGTCTTGTCAATTCAGCAGGTATACAAATCTCAAGATTAGACAATTTGCCCAAATTCACATGAATTGTTTGAACAATCAGACAATTTGTCCAAATTTACATGAATTCTTTGAACAAAGTACTAATTCGTCCGAACAAATATTAAATTTTTTCGAACAATTTTCTAATTTGTTCGAAAGAATTTTTAATTAGTCCGAACAAATATTTATAGTTTGTCCGAACAAATTATTATATTTTGTCAGAACAAATATCTTATTTGTTCGAACGAACATCTTATTCGTCCGAATTACTAATTCGTCCGAAAGAACTTCTAATTCACCAGATTAAATAAACATCATTTTTAATCTGGCCCTCCAGCGGCGCCGTTTTGGTTTTTTTAATGAATCTATACAGAGCTCTCCTTTGAACTTTGCATGCTTTTAGACAAATTGATGGAATAAAAAATGACTACTCCCTTTCCCGGATACAAAAACAAAAGAATATTGGCAGAGACAATTTAAAATGAAATTAAAAATAAATATCATAAATTAAAAAATATCTACAAGTATCTTACTTTCACTGTAATGTTACATTTGAGAAATGATTTACAGTTGAACTCCGGTATCTCGAACACTGATGTCTCGAATACCATGGATATGTCGAAGTGCTTTTGAAGTCCCAAGTGCTTATTTCTTAATTATCTTACCCCGGATATCTGGAATCCTCGGATATCCTGAAGTATTTTCTTGAAGTTCGAGATAACGAGATTTGACTGTATTTTATATGTTTGTCAGGAGAGAGGAAAAAAACTATTTCATAAAATCTTTGAAAATAACACCATCAATGAAATAAAATCAACAATTATAACAAACATCAAAAATATTCGATCCAATACATTGGCTGTAAGTTTTGATTTCACAAAAGTAATTAAATTTCTTTTTGATTCAGTTTGCACATGCTCCAATTCCATGTCAATTGGAATAACTTTCTTTTCAGCCTTGTTCTCAGCGTTGTTGTCAGTTTTAAAATGAACATGTAACACAACAGCTTCCAAAACCACAGTTAAACCACTGATCATAAGTTGCATGGTCAGGTACACGGTAAATGGAGGGATGTCATCGGACTTAGGTAACGATTCTATAATCATGGTCAGAAAGAAGGCGAAAGTTAAGAAAATAGACATTGAGGTTCCCATTTTCTCTCCAGAATCTATTGGCAACACAAAAGCGAATACGTTCAAAACAGAGAGAATTATAACCGGTAGAAGAACGGTCAGAACAACGAAGCCTGGTTTTCTCTTGATATTCAGATTGAAATGGAGTTCTGTTGTCATTGCTGGTGTGTACTGTAGAGTGACGGACGCATTTTGCACTTCCCATTCCTCGCTTTGCTCAAAGAAATATAAGCTGTAATAGGAAGAAGCTGCTGAAAAGTTTAAAAATTCGGAAAATGCAAACAAATTTCCAAAACGTAAAGAACAGGTCTGTGAGTCAAAAGGATATTTTTGAACGTTTATTTGGCACTGTGTTAGACTCTCTTTTGCGGTTGTATAAATAACGTTTCCATTGTTAAGAACTGACACTGGTTTCTCCTCTGTCAAACATTTGTTGTCTGTTACGTCATTAAAAACACAGACTGAACTAGGTATCCATACATATTTTGAGGTTGTTTGAAGCTGTTTGATTCCCATGTAAGAAGCTGGATCCCACATTAAACGATAGTCGTCCCATGCCATTGAAATCCAAACAGAGGCTGAAAATGTCTTATCTTTTTCGTTCACCTTACGAATCGACATAATGCTCAGTGATATAGATAAAGGGATTGAATCTGCGATTGTGTTAAAAGGCGCCACGCGAACCTCATGGTTGTCTAATATATCCTTAAATAATTGAGATCTGTTGGTTGCTGAAGTTAGATTCTCATTCAAAAATAATGTAAACAATAGCCATAGATCTAGATTTAATAGATTCTTAACCATTTTAAAGATTTTAATTACTTTCTTTACTGAGTCTTGGCACATCAAAACCTTTTTCCAGTTTGAAATCATACATGCCAATTACCAACAGTTATCAATTTCTAGTTAATGTTAACGTTACCGATCAATAGTCTTTAAAAGCTACACAATGCCATGGTGAACCAGTTCATTGAAACAATATCTAATATTTGGAAATGATAATGTATTTAACCTACTGATGATTGTCATTAATGAACACTCTGTTTATGGTCACATTATACATGTAGACCTTTCATTATTTTTAGCGGTACTTTGTGATGAATCAAGAAATAAAGATCGTTTTCTGATTATCAATCGAAAGACACATACGTCAAATAAACAAGATGAATTAGTGAAATGAATAGAATTATTTGAATTTGTCAGGGAAAGTGGCACTTAAATTGAAGAATTGACTGCTTTACTTATATACTTCAAAATAATTGTCCATCATCATTTTGATATGTTGTTCACCCTTTCCATGAGTTGTGTCTCAATTCTTTGAATAGAAAATGTGAAAATAATGAACAATCATCAAGCACAAATAGCAATTTAAGCAATGCAAATTTTAGCAGAACAAACACGGACCACTGAAAACATCTAAGATATGATACGGTACTATGATACGGTAAGCTTACCCAGTAAACCGGTCAAGCGAGACGTGTGCCTCATGGTCGGGTGAACACAATTAAAAAAAATGAGCGCCATAGTTCCGCCACAGTAAAATATTAGCTCCACAGTAAGATCGTCGTCGATCATGAGGATAAATGTATAAATATATACTGCAGTAAGCTGAAAAATGAACTCTATATTATGTAACTGTTTTTCTAATGCTAAACCGTTATTTTACTCTAAGTAGGGCCCATTGTTTGGCTTGCACAATCAATTATCTTCTAGGCCTCGCTGGACTTTACGCAATGAAATGAGATTTTTCACACTACGCGGTAATTGAAAATGATATTTTAAAATGCTTATTTTTAAAGCTACTCATCGTCTCAAGCCACGGTCCGGAGTCCGCATATAGCTCTCTCCTACCCGTGGCTGCTTGATCACAAAAAGTTTCGTAATCTTGAATATTTACGCCTTTGTATTGTGACGTCATGTACAGCCAATGACAATCTATTGAAATCAACAATTGACATCAACAGTATACAAGAAATGTTTCGTATACTGCGATTGGGTATTGAAAGGTCGCGTCAAAGTTCATTATCCGACTATGCTTTACTCGCATAGATTAATCAAAAGAGTAGTTTATGACTCCAAACAGCTTATGTGTTTTTAATTTACAAGTTGTAAGACACTTTTAAAAGTCAACTGATACCAATAATTGCATATATAGAGAGTGAGTAACCTGGCCTACCAGAAATTCCTCTGTCCTGACACGGTAGTGTATAATTTACATTATGAAAACAAAATATTTTTTCTAAAAATCAGGTTAAACACTGAACTCTAGTTATAACTGGTACTAACATTTTAAGATTCATTTAGCTTCTACTTGTTAAGAACTACGCACGGTAACTCCCGATTCCCGCCTACATTTTACAACCATTTAATTCAATATTGATGACAATTTGGCCATAAAATCTTTGTTTCATACAAAGAACAGTTCAATGGTAATTGATTAATTATTTTAATTCCAGTGCTAAATAGTAAAATATCCCTAATTCCAGCTCTTGAAATAAGGGGGGTAGACGATATTTTCCACTGAAATCGGGCTATAAAGCATCACCATATTTTGAAATAGTCTTTGATATGAATAAATGTTTCTTAAATCTTTTTTTATGTTTTATGTATATAAAATTAAGCATATATATTAGTAAAATATAATGTTTCAGTTGTAAAGCACTTGGAAATTGCTGGAAAAAATAAGCATTTTTAGCGTTTTTTGTATATAAACATATGTCCCCCCCCCCCCCCCCAGTGAAACACAAAAAGCTTTAGTATGAATTTGTGAAATGACAGTCCATATTACCCGTAAAAAGGAAATTTTGTTTCACCGGGGGGAAAGATGTTTTAAAAATATCTTCCGTTTTCCGTTGATTTCTATAGTGAAAAACACGAGTTTTACAAAAATTTTAGAGTTATCTCTCGTTGTTTTCCCAAAGGAGTAATGTTTTATGAAAATCCATATAAATATCAATATAAATATTAAAAATCATTCGAATATCTTAACTTTTGAAAATTGACTTGGAGGTAGGCGGGAGAACAATACTGTCGTTCGCAGTTCTTTAAAAGTACGTTTTTAAGTTGATGTGTTGGGGTGGGGGGGTCACAGAACTTACACATATATTCTAGAAACGTTCTTATTTTTCTTTTACACTATCTTACATTCGATATCCATTAATATTTTTTAATTTTACTTAAATTTATATTTCAATTTGCCATGTATTTAATACATTTTATGGATAAAATAATGTAGTGATTCAGAAGAGATCTGTGTATACTTAGACTTGACATTAATTTTACAAATTGCAGCTTCGTTGTACTTGCTGAAATTTGCATATATAAAGGGTAAAACTTTGACTCCATATTAGCATTTTAGCTATCCCCGGGGTCATCATTTATGTAAATTATTCTTCCTGTTGTCAAGGGATTTTTAAGCCAGGTCTGTGATCTTCATGTCGGGGAATATGATAATTATTATTTATCCTACACCCTTATATAATGATTGATTATTTTCTCTATCACATACCACTGGGATTCAAACTAAAGGGGTTTGTCATGAAAAGACATAAATTAACTTTCTAAACACACATTTAGCCCAAAAACGGCGGAATGTACAATGATAAGTACATGTACGCATTGAAGTGTAAACTAAGAACAAGAATCTTGTATAGAATTTGAACTCATCTCACATTTTACATGTATGAAACAGTTGTATATTTTCTATATCACAAAATTAATTCTAATTTTCTTCAGTCTATGTTCAGCTTGATGATTAAAATACTAAATAAATATAATTATGCTTATTGAGACTTAGTATATTGATTATATACTGATTTTTTTTTTTAAGATTATATTGTTTTTAGAAATGATTTACGGAGAAGAAATATTCTATCTCAGAATTTCAAATGTTGTATATTAGAAAATAAAATATTTGTTTTTTTTTTTTTTGTTTGTTTGTTTGTTTGTTGTTTTTTTTTTTTTTTTTTTTTTTTTTTGTTGTTGTTGTTGTTGTTTTTGTTCTCATAAGCGATTTGGTTTACATCTAAGATGTCTAATTAAATAAAAAATTTGTGTATTTAAGAGTTGGATTCGCAGTAACATAATATAGAAGGATTTTTTTCGATTTCTGACATAACTGATGTCTTAGTAGGTTGACCATAGTGGTATTCTCATTTGAATGCTTACGAGAGAGAGAGAGAGAGAGAGAGAGAGAGAGAGAGAGAACGACTACCGAATGAATATTATATAAAGTTTATACGTTCTCATAGATTGATTGATTGATTGAATTTTGTTTTACGTCCCGTTTTAGAATTTTTCACTCATATAGAGACGTCACCATATACCGGTGAAAGGCTTCATATTTAGACCTTTACTCGGCACTGAGGGCCATTGAGCAGTAAGGGTTCTTTATCGCGCCAACGCCCACCGTGACACGGCGCCTCAGTTTTTATGGTCTCATCGGAAGGACCTGCAACTTTCACTTTAGTCCGAAATATCTGGCGTTTTCTTAGCTTTTTTACGATTTTGATATTTTACTGGCACGTAAAATATCAAAATAGTAAAAAAGTCAGGAAAACGTCAGATATTTCGGACTACTTTCACTTCAATGTGCCGAGCGCTTGGCGAAGGAACAGTTGCTACCTATTTGTTATCGACTTAGGTCAGTCGCGGTCGTGATTCGAACTCACGACCTCCCGATCACGGGGCGAGCACTATCCCGACTGAGCTACCGTGGCAGCTTGTTCTCATAGAAGTTATAACTTATCGACCAACAGGTAATACCACATCGTAAACATATTAAATACAAATTTAAAGACATCAGAGGATAAAAAAAATATATATGTGAATAAATCAATGTAAAAAATAAATTAAAATGCGATTAGTAATAAATAATACGTTTGGCATAATCATACGTACATTACGGTAACTGTGTGTCGTCTAAGACTATAGTAAATGGAATTTCCGAGATCATTGTAACACTTGTGTTAATGGGTGATTAAAATGCTTCACTACACTGTATATAAAATGGAATAGAAACCATAGATAACGCGTTAAGTAGAATTGATTTTGTATTTACAATTGCAAGTTTTTTGATAAATAATTATAAATGTACACTTTTACCTTTATTGTGTTTGTGAAATGAACACTATTAGTGAAATAACATCCACCAAAATTACAAGTATCATGAATATTCGGTCCAAACATTTGGCTGTTATTTTTGTTTTTACAAAATTAATTAAATTCTTTATACTTTTATCCTTTTGAGACAATGTGTCCTTAACATCCAAATCCGCAGGAACTATTTTATGATCAGTATCCTTCATATCTAATAAATCCGCGGGTACAATTTTGTTATCAGATTTGTTTTCATTTTCACAGGAACTAAAATGAACGTGTAACACTACAGCCTCTAATACCACAGTGAGTCCACTGACGACCAGCTGTATGGTCAGATAGACTGTAAACGGAGGGATCTCATCCGACTTTGGCATTGTATCGTTAATTGTACTTAAGAACACAGCGAAAGATAAGAAAATGGCCATCGAAGTACCCATTTTTTCACCAGAATCTATTGGCAACACAAATGCAAAAATATTTAGAACGGAGAGAATAATTACTGGAAGAAGGACGGTCAAAACAATGAATTCCGGTTTCCGCTTGAGACTCAAACTGAATGCCAGCTGATTATTCATTGATGTTACGCCGAAGTCATCTACGTTCCATTCTTCGTTTTGTTCATAGTAGGTCAAGCTATATGAGGAGTATTTCGTTCCTAGATCTATGAATTCGGAACTGGTGAAAAAATTTCCAAAGTACAGTGAGCAGACTTGTGAGTCAAAAGGGTATTTTTTAATATCTATTTTACATTGTGTAATGCTTTCTCTTGATGTTGTATAAACAAGGTATCCGGTGTTATGTATTGTAATGGGTTTCTCCTCTGTTAAACATTTCTTATCCGTGACGTCATTGAAGATACAAATTGAGCTTGGTATCCACACATACTTTGAGGTTGTTTGCAGTTCGGTAATTCCTTTGTAAGAAGTTGAATCCCACATAAAACGGTAATCTCCCCATGACATTGAAATCCAAAAAGAGGCTGAAAATGTCTGCTCCTTCTCGTTCACTTTACGAATTGACATAAGATTTATAGTTATTGATAAAACAATCCTGTCGTTGACCGTATCAAAAGGTGCCACACGAACTTCATGACTGTCTAAAATATCTTTGAAAAGTTGTGATCTGTTAGTTGCAGAACATAAGTTGTTGAGGGATTCAAATGTCGCAAGCAAGAACAAAAGCAACTTTGCCATTTTTGAAAATGTGCTTGAATAACGATAAAATGGTTGATTTAAAGCAATTTTGCAATTCAAAATCTATCAGTGACAACTGTCAATATTTTATCAGGACGTGGGAATTGATAAAATCACAAAATTAAATAACTGGTATATAGTCGATAATAATCCGGTCTTGGGATGAAAGGAGTGAAAATGTATGAGATGCCGTGTGAAAATACTTGTATTTTTCAATGACATAGATACGTCAATCATTTATTGAAATGTAATTGTAATATCAAATCTTCTGTAAGGTCTGGATTTGCATGTAGAAAATTCCTCATAGGATATAAAGGAACTATTAACTTTCTGTTTATTTATCGTAAATACATTAATTGCTGAGTAAACAGAGATCGTTTAAGGGTTTAAGAACGGCTTATTTTACAGGTACATGTATTTAAATTCATACGAAGCTCAATTAGAAAAAGAAGAAATCATAATACCTTCTTGATCTCTTAAAAAAATACATTTAAACACATACTGAGGTTTCACGTGTAATTGTTACCAATTCTTGATTATGGAATAATGTTTATTCACTATTGAAAGAAACTTAATATTAAGATCACGATTAAAACCCACTTGTATAATACATATCTACAACAATAATAAACTTTGATTATTTTTTTCAGAATTAAAATGAATAAACGATATGAATTGAAAGCTGTCATTTCTACTGCATCTGGTTCAAACAGACAAAATTTTTAACATATTCTCTTTTAGCCTGAACTGAAATAAATTACTAGTAATTACGCAAAATTATATTAGTAATGCTGAGTCTTCCGTAGACCTTGTATAATACGATTTTACAGACATTTTTTTTCAACTGGCTAACATAACTCATTTAACAACTCAGCTCTTGCATTCGTACGGCGACGCTGGAAGGCCAAATAAAAAAAAAATTATCTAATTCGATCGAACGAATTAGATATTCGTTCGGACAAATTAGAAATTCGTTCGAACGAATTAGATATTCGTTCGGACAAATTAGAAATTCGTTCGGACGAATTAGATATTTGCTTGGACAAATTAGATTTTCGCTCGGACAAATTATAAATATTTGTTCGAACTAATTAGAAAATCGTTCGGACGAATTAGTACTCTGTTCAAACAAATCATGTGAATTTGGACAAATCCTCTAATCTAGAGAGTTGTACATGTATACCTGCGGATTTAGCAAGACTCATCCCTTCTTGCAATGTCATAACCATATATTACAGAGAGGGTTATATCTTGTGTTTTTTAATTAATACATGCATTAAATTATGTGGCTGCTTGGATCAATAACATATACACACGTTTTATTAAACTAAAACTTATTGATGATATGTACTTATTAACTATATGCAGTACTAACTGTATGTAGTATTTATTTATTATTTAAATAAACCTTGTACCTGTGGAGAGGGCTTATATATTCAATGCCTGCTGTCCAAACTATTTATGTTTCATTACATAATAAAATATGTCAAATCAGATCATACGCACGTTGGAACAAGACTTGTGATATTTAAGTCAAATAAATTGATGCCGATAATTCGTAAATGCTAGTCTAAAGGATTCACTACTCCAAAGGTCATGGGTAAATCAAATGCAATTTAATCATGTCAAATTAAATGATCTTACAAATTAAATATGTAGCTATAGCAATTATTCGATCTTCACAACTTCTTTGAATTGTTTGTACATGTATATAGATTAAATGCATTTAGAACATATATTTGAAGAATTGGGATCAATCTGCTCAAATAAAATACAATATTTTTTATGGTTTGTCTTAGACAGAAAATGAGATACCTCGCTAAATTGCAATTTTTAAGTCCGCCTACATCAATACTCATAGTTACAATAACATGGTACCACTGCACATACACTGCATGTACATGTAATAAACACCTAAAGGATAATAGGGTAAATATATATGAACGTTTCATTAGGTTTTAAGAATTACTTTCACTCTCGGTGCACTTTTTTTTTTAAAATTAATTAATCAGTAATTGAAATTAAACTGACAAACGACCTGATGTTTGATAAAAAAAAAAGAAAAAAGAAGTAATAAACGCTCAATGCGAGGATCGAACCAAAATTTGTCAATTCTTGAGTGTTCTGGATTGGAGACGCACACTGCTGAACTATCACTGCTTCATAAAGAATATGAATTTTAAAACGACAATGAAGCATCACATTTACACAATTGGATTTATTTTAATTTTTTTTTTTTTTTTTTTTTTGGGGGGGGGTCTCTTGGTCTTCTCTCCATATTTACGAATGCATGCTCGTTTCTTTGAATTAAAATGCAGGAGAAAAAATCGTAGAGAGATACCAAATGACCCAATTCGCCATGTTTTAAGTTATTTTTTAGCAAATCAAAACACTCTTAACAAAAATATCCCTTTCCTATTTCTTAAGAACCTACTACATCAAAAGAATTTGAAAATTTCATATGACCGTTCAATAAAATTTTCAGTTTTCGCCCAGATTCCTACCGAATGCCAGTCAAAAGCGCCCTCGTTTTTTCATAAAAGACTTTCTATAAATATGAGAGCGCTTGCTCCGTAATCGGAAGGTCGTGTGTTCGAATCACGGCCGCGACTGACCTAAGTCATAGCAACTGTTCCTTCGTCAAGCGCTCGACACTTTTAAGTGTAATTTGCAAGGTCTCCTTCGACAGAGACCTGAATTAAAAACCGAGGTTCCGTGTCACGGCATACGTTGGTACGATAAAGAACCCTCGCTGCTCAATGGTCCTGAGTGCCGAGTAAAGGTCTAAATTTGAAACCCTTCACTGGTAAATGTTTATGGTGACGTCACTATATGAGTGAAAAATTCTCGAATGGGACTTAAAACAACATATACAATCAATCAAACAGTCTATAGATATAATTTTCCAAACAAACTTGAGTGATTTTAGCTTTTGTAAGGTTTCAATCTATAAATAAATATTAAATGACAAATAGGTAAAATGACGTTCAACATACAATCAAACCAACTTATAGATATGATTTTCCAAACAAACTTGATTGTTGTTAGCTTTTGTAAGCTTTCGATCTATGTTAAAAGAAGAAAAAAAATTAAATATATGAATATATAATGAAGCAAAGTAAAAAACAATAATCTTTAAAAAATTAAGAAAATTGGAAGAAATAATGTTGACATTTTTGTTCATTTGTTTGTTTTTTGATTTGTTTTATTTCTATTGTTTTTTGTTTGTTTGTTTTTTTATTCCTTCTGGTATGTATTGTTTTGTTTGTTTGGGTTTTTTTTTTCTTTTTTTTTTTTTTTGCTTAATTTTCATTTCTTATTTCAAATCATCAAAATTATAGAAAACATCCTATACATTAAATCATAGGTCATAAGCAATCGCACCCACCACCCCCTCCACCACCAACAAAACCCTGATTTACAATGTAGTAGCTATAAGAAATCTATCTTCATCGACCATTGACGGAAAGGGAATACCTTTGATATATATTTGGTACTTATTGAATGTGTGGTTATCAGTATTTCAAATGCGCAACTAACTTATTGTTGGCCAAAAAAATTAAAAAGACTTTGGAGATAATCTTTTACATATTTTTTTACATCTAGGATTAACCTCCCCAAGGATCTACCTCTCTTTACCTACTTACAATCTACGTATGTTTCTCCCCGATCGCTTCAGAAAAAAATGATGGGGAGAAGAGGGGGGGGGGGGAGAGAGTCAATGGAAAAGGCATTGATACTATGCATTTTTAGAGAATAAATGAAATAAACAATCTTTCGTTTGAATGCAAATTGAAATGAATGTCTTACACAGTCAAGGGTTTTAAATCTGTCAAATATATATATATATATATATATATATATATATATATATATATATATATATATATATATATATATATATATATTTAATCTCAAAATCCTTTCTTAAACATTTTTAATTCTTAAACACATCGATTTGCCTGTGTTTGGTAATCCCTTTATTTAAAAGGAACAGCGGAACGTTAACGAAATGCATAACAAAACTTTAACTTCATGAAATATGACTTTTCAAGAGTTTTACTTGTGGATAAAAAAAAAAATCTATAAAGTTATTGACATTGCACCAAAAAATAAGCTAACGAAACTACATTAGTTATGACAATAGCTGTCATAAATATTTTATCCAGCTTCTTTGCATCAATCTTAAAAAATCTGCAAACTCTTCGTGTTTTCTTTTGTTCATCCGCTTTTTCATTAACGTCAAGTGGGACAACCTTGTTGTCCGATGTATCTTCAGGTGAATTAAAATGGACATAGAGTACAATGCTCTCTAGTACCACAGTCAACCCACTGACCAGTACTTGAGTAAGAAGATATGCTGAGAAGTAAGGCGTGTCATCTGACTTTGGCATCGATTCATTGATAATTGTAAGAAACACAGCGAACGTCAGAAATATAGCCATAGAAGTCCCCATCTTTTCTCCTGAATCAATAGGCAGCAGATAGCAGAAGATGTTAAGAACAGAGAGCACTATTATTGGAAGCAGCTCAGACATGATTACGTTGGTGGATCTTCGTTTGATCTCCACATGAAAATGTAATTGTTTTAATGTCAAGTTGAGAGATGAATCATATGACTGGTGTAGGCTAGAGAAAGAATTCGTTACATCCCACTCTTCATTTCTCTCGTAGTAAGTTAGACTGATTTTTGAATACTGTTCTTGAAGAAGAAGAAATTCCGAGACTTCGAAAAGATTTCCAATATACAATGAGCATAAATGCGAGTCAAAGGGATACTTTCTAATATTTAGCGTGCACTGTGTAACACTTTCACGGGTTGTTGTATATGAAACCCAACCAATATTCATGATGGTTACTGGATTCTCTTCAGTTAAACATTTTTCACTTTTGACCTCATTATATATGCAGATAGAACTCGGAGACCATACATTTTTTGAAGTTGTAATGATTGAAGTTATGCCTTTGTATGAAGATGGGTCCCAGCTTAGTCGATGATC